AGCTGTTTACTGAAGTATGAAGTATGACAAGCACTTTGTGTAAAGATACTTCAGAGTCCCGTTAACAAATTAGTGTGAGCTTAAGGAAATTGATATGTTTCCTATTGTCTGCTTAAAATGTTCATTTTTTTCAAAAGTAGGTTAGAATGGGGAACCATAAACACAGTCCGAAAGTCTCAGCACTGCTGTGTGTACACTCATGCATAGTTTCATGATGAGGTCTCCTAAGCGCAACTTGTCTGCTTTGCATGAAGCGATCTTTCTTTTCTTCCCGCTTCCCCTTTCAGCTCTGTGCTGAAATGACCGCATGGGAACTGATAAACTCTTGACTACCAAATTCTTCTGCCTTGCTTTAAAGCCCTTAAGCGGCCTCAGCAGGGCCAGCTGCCCTGGCGCCCGCCCTTCTTTCTAGGGCACCTGCTCGTCTGCTTGCTGCGCATGCTCAGAAGCACCTCGCTGGAGGAACCTCCATCCCAGTCTCCACCTTTCTTCCTGTGCCTGTTACTGCTAGCGTGTGTTTATTTACTCATTTTTATTTCTTTGGTTTCTGATCTTCCCCGATGTAATGTCAGCTCCACGAGGTGAGGGTTGTTTCTCATTCACCCCGGCATCACTAGCTTGAATAGTGTCTGGACGCTGCGGAGCCAGGAAATGAATAAATTGATTTCGTTCTTGAAAGAAATTACCTAGGGTATCTTCTAGACAGTGTATCCTGTGTCTTTATGAACTGATCATTCTGTTTCTGTCTCAGCCTCTTCAGAGTCCAGAAGGTATTTCAGGAAGGGAGACTTGCCTTTGTCTTATTATATCATGACTATTATTATTAAGGAGACCCCCCCATAGTGTTTGAGATAGCAAATAAATACTAAATGTGTCTGTTATATAACACGCACTAGTCCATTTTTCATTGCTAGAATACCCAAGGCAAGGTAGTGATCAATAAAAAAGGTTTATTTGGGCCGAGCGTTGGTGGCACACGCCTTTAATCCCAGCACTCGGGAGGCAGAACCAGGCGGATCTCTGTGAGTTTGAGGCCAGCCTGGTCTACAGAGCGAGATCCAGGACAGGCACCAAAACTACACAGAGAAACCCTGTCTCAAAAAAAAAAAGAAAAAGTTATTTGGGCTCACTAGTCTGGTAGTCCAAGGTCAAGGGCCAGCATCTGGTGACAGTCTTCTTAGGGGAGGCGTCCCGAGGCAGCCCAGAGCATCATACTGTAGGAGACAGAGATGAATGTTTGTGTGTCCTATCGGATTCAGTCCTGGGGAAGCCACCAAGATCGAGTCATGGAGTCTCCATTCTAAAGACCTCTTTGAGTCCTAATTACCTCTCAAAAGTCCTGTCCAAAAATACCATGGTCTCTGGAGTTCCCACCCTCTTTAATACTTCACGATGAGGATTACAGTCTAAATAAGGAACACCCAGAGAAAAACACCTAGGCTATGTTTACTGTTTTCGTTTTGTTTTTTTGGGACAGGGTCTCACTATATAGCCTTGGTTGGCCTGGAACTCACTCTGTAGAGCAAGCAGGCTGGCCAAGAACTTAGAGAGATCTGCCCGCCTCTGCCTCTGGAGTGCTGAGGTTGAAGGCGTGCGCCGCCACTTATATTTACATTTTGACCGAAGGAGACAGGCCACGGTAGACACTCACTGGGACTGGGTTGGGGGTTCTGTGAGTCCAGGCAGGTGGGGAAGCCCAGACCCCATTCTGTCGGCAGGAACTGTTGCTTGCCCGCTTCTGTTTGAGAAACAGTGCTTCTGGGAGCTAGGGAATCTTGCCTGCTTAGGGGTCTCTACTAATGGCTTTGGAGTCCCACCCCAGCAGGTCTCCAGTCAGACACAAAAAGTACCGGAGGTTATTTAGACACTTCAGTGACTAACACCAAGCATGCTTGTTCTCTTAGGATGCAAGCCCTTCCTGCATCTCTCATTTCTCCTGCTCTCGCCCTCACAGAAACTATAACTTTCAATTCCACTTCTTTTTTTTTTTAATTAGAAATTGATTATTTGTAGCCAGGTTCATTCTCAGGCCATTTTTGTGACGCTCAGCCCAAGTTCTCACAAGACTCTAAATCCGGTGTGGGGAGCTGCTCAGGGGGCTGCTGGTCCACACTTCTAAGGAAAGAAGAAAATTACCTTGTTTTCATTTTTATTTTTCATTTGAAGAAGAAAACTGTCAGGTGACCTGGTGAAACTCAGATCAGCTGTGCTGTTTTGCCCGTGTATTTAGAAAACACCCTATGGAAAGACTGAGTTTCTGACTCTTTAAGCTCCGGGCAGGGTGTTAGATTCGTGCTTCTTGTAGGTCGTGCTTGAGGCAAAGCAGAGAAGACACAGAGTGAGCCTGGCTGGCACAGAGCCTACCTGGGAGCTCCCGTTCTAGCTGCTGAGTCAAAGGGAAACACCACCTCACCATCCCCTGTCCTTTCTGTGTCCCTTGGCTAATAAAATACTGTTGGGGTAGGGGGTGGGGGCGGTCTAGATACAGTCTCCCATGGCCCGAGCTAGCCTTCGACTGGCTATGGAGCTGAGGATGACCTTGAACTCCTGATCCTCCTGCCTCCACCTGAGTGTGAGGATTACAAGTATGTGTCACCACACCTGGTTTTAGGTGATGTTGGGATGTTGGGGATCATGTATGCAGGGCAAGCACTCTCTCAGCTGAGCTACGTCCCCGGGCCCTGACCCACCCTGTGCAGTGTGTATATGGGTCTGTTTCTAAACGATTGTTGTTGTTTTCTACCATATTCCTGAAGGAGCTAACAAGGGTACAAATCACACCCGCATGGTCTCTCCAAAGATAGCACAAATAAAGACTAAGCACCCGAGAGTGTGCTCAGCATTACAGTTCTTAAAGGAACCCACAATGAGATACCCTCGCACCCATGAGAACGACTCCTCGGAAAGATGAACACGTGTTGGCAGGCATAGGAAGGGAAGGAGAATGCCGTACAGTGTTGGTGGAATTAGTCCAACCACTTAGGAACACAGTCGCTCAAAAGGCAGTGAGCATGTGGCTCAGCAGTTTTATCTCTAGATGAGGACTCAAGAGAAAACATATTTGTACACAAATTTGGAAACAACCCAAATGTAAATCAACTGATAGAAAAATGTGGTATGTTTATATTGTGGAATATTATTCATCCATAAAAAAAGAAATACTTGTTTGTGGTATAATACGAGGGAAGATTGAACGCATCTTGCTAAGTTAAAAGAAGTCAGATATGAAAGCTACTGATTGTTTATGTGTAATATACAGAACCGGTGAAACTACAGAGACAGAAAGAATCGTGGTTCTCAGGGCAGGGGAGAATAGATCAGGACTGCTAATGAGCAAGGGATTATTGGGAGTTGTAAAACTTTGCTGGAATTAGAGGGTGGGGATGGCTTCACAGTCTCATGAACACACTAAAAACTACTAAACTACACTATGCAGACTAGGCTGGCCTAGAACTCATAAAGATCTGTCTGCTTCTGCCTCCCTAGTGCTAGAATTAAAGGTATGTGCCACCACAACTGGCTAAAATTTAAAAACAACAACAACAACAACAACAACAAAAACCCTACTAAACTGTGTATTTAAAAGGTCAGGGACAGGGGCTTTGATTCAGTCAGTAAGTGCTGGCTCAGCATGCACAAAGCCCTGAGTTCTAACCCCGGCGCAGCATAAACCAGGTGTGGTGCATTTGGGTGGTAGAGGACGGAGGGTATGAAGTGCAGCATCATCCTTGGCTGCATAACATTCAAGGCCAGCACAAGCTCCTGTCTGAAAAAGGAGTGGGGCAGATTTATGAGATGTAAGCTCACCTCTCCTTAAATAAAAGGAAACCTTGCAGGAAGGATGTTGAAACAAGAAAGATCTTAACAGGTTTCAGTGAGACTGCTATGACATTGGAGCTGTGGAGGTGGTTCAGACATTAAGATCACTAGTTGCTCTTCCAGAGGACCTGGGTTCAATTCCCAGCCCCCACGTGGTAGCTCACAACCATTTGGTACTCCAGTTCCAGGAGTTCTGTAGGCACCAGGCATACGGGTAGTTCACAGACATACATGCAAGCAAAACAAAACAAAACAAAACAAAAAAACAGCCATATACATAAATATATAAAACAAAAAGAAAAAAAAAGAAATGGGAATCCTCAGTCCTCATGGTGGGGGAGTCGGGGTAAGGTGGTTCACCTACTTTGGGAAACAGTATGAAAGAAAGTTCCTCAGACCTTGTTTATACAGCTAGCATGCCGCTCAGCAGTTCCATGTCAGCATGCTTATTGAAAAGAAATAAAATATATATCAGGGCTGGTGAGGTTGCTGAGTGCGTAGAGGCTCTCGTCACCAAGCCCAAGGGCAGCCCTGGAGCCTGCGTGGTAGAAGGAGAGGGACAGCTCACACGCACGTCCTCTCACCTCGTACCATAGCACACGCACGCACGCACGCACGCACGCACGCGCACACAGTGGCATGTGCACACACACATGCAAAGTAAAAGAACAAAGTGTCTATTGATAGAGAAACTTGTAAGCAAAAGTTCATTACTGCTTCATCTGTAGCTGCTGAAAGCTGGGAGCAAGGGAATACCCCTCAGCAGTAAACGAAAGTGGACACCAAAAAACCTCCTGCTCCATCAGAACCAGAACTATGCACAGAACGATTCTGTTGGGTGTCGTTTCTAGGAAGGCAAAGCCAGGTAGACACCCCACACGTCGGTGCCCAGCAGTGGCCTGAGCTCACTCCAGCTCACTCGGCGGTGGTGGTAGCTGCTGAGGACAGACTGTCCTCAGGGATTATTTTATGGTGATGGAAAATGTTCTAAAACTGGATTGTGGCGGTTGGGTATACAAATGTTTAAATCTGCTAAGACCGTTGGATTGGATAGGTTTTATGGTATGCAAACGAAACCTCAAAAATTGATTTAAAAAAAAAATCAGTCAGTCTCAGACTCTGGATATTTGAATTTGGGAGAAAAACAAAACAAAAACAAAAACCTCTCCCCTCACCCCCAGACCCGACCTCCCACGGACGCCAGCTTCAACTTCGATGCCAACAAACAACAGAGACAGCTCATTTTAGAACTGGAAAACAAGAACAGGTGAGAATGCTTTCCCACCTGTGTCCCACAGCCAGTGTCCCCTTCTGTGGGGTCCTCATCGCCCCACAGACTACGCGGCTTGTTCGCTTGCTCTCTTTGCTTCTGTAAAACGGCCCCTTGTAACCGAGGCTGACCTCGAACTCACTGTGTAAGGCAAGCTGACTTGGCTGTCGGGATGCTCCTGCCCACCCCCCACCTACACCTCAAATGCTAGGATTGTGGATGGGTCGCCACACCCAGCTCTGTATGGCTCCTCAGTAGACAGGAGTGGCCCGGGACCCGGAGAGACACTGCATGCTGTCCGTTCACGCTGTCCTACGCTCCGTCCTGTTACCTCTAGAGAGGCTCTGTCTGAGGACTTGTCCCACCCACCAGTGTGTCCCCAGTAGCATATTGTTCTGTCTTAGCATCTCTTCATGGTCTGTTACACTACATGTATCCAGTCTCATTTTATCGTAAAAGGCCATTTTAAATGTTGCTAACAGGCCTCGGGAACCACATATTACACCACTATGCAGCGAGAGGTAGACCCCGGGACACGGGGACTGACCCTCGTGTAGCAAGCGCTAGGGAGGAGATGGCAGGAGTCAAGCGAAGGATAGAATGGAGGGAGAGTTGGGAAGTCCACATACGACCCACATTGGGAGGCTGCAAAGAGTTCTCTTTCCCTGAAGTGGAGCAGGGTAAATAAAACGTCCCAGTTACCATTTCCCCTTCCTGGAGAGGGTTCAGGTCTTGAGAAGAGCGTAGTCTGTGGGGAGAGCCCCCGAGGAGCCGTCGGGGGGAACTGTTGAGAAGGTATCCACTGCCTCAGAACGGAGGGGAGAGGAGGCACCAAGGGGGTAAAGACGTGGGGAAGGAGACGTCAGACACTAACAGCGTCTCCCGCCACCCCCAGGGAGATCCTGCAGGAGATCCAGCGCCTGCGGCTGGAACACGAGCAGGCTTCCCAGCCCACTCCCGAGAAGGCCCAGCAGAACCCCACGCTGCTGGCGGAGCTGCGCTTGCTGAGGTAGGCACGCATGCACCTGCTCCCAGGCTGCAGCCTCTGGTGGGGGTGTCTGCACGGGGAAGCCAGCCCAGTGGGATAGGATCTGTTCAATGGCAGAACCTGGAGCGTCAGCGCAGACTGCCTGAGAGTTCGGTCCACCACGCTGGAGAACATGGTATGAGGATGACCTGTAACGAGTCATCTTCCTCTCTGCCACAGAAGCACGTGTGTTTCCCGTAAGTGGAGACATGGAAACCCGCCATATGGAAACCAAATCCGATGTCTTAGTTCTTTCTTACCAGAGCTCCAGATTCTTGAATAGTGTGCCTTGCTGTTTCTGTTGTAGCATTTAGAATTCTGCATTTGATACTTCATTTGGGGGAGAGAGAGGGGGAAATAAGATCTCATTCTGCAGCCCAGGCTGGCCTAGAACTTTTAGTGTTATGTAGTACAGGCTGGCTTTGAACTTGTGGTGATCTCCTTCCTCAGCCTCCCCAGGGCTAGGATTATAGGCCTGCACCACCATGGCTGCCTCATACTTCCTCATGAATGTGCTAGCATCTGGGATACACATAGCTGAATAGCAGAGTTTTTCAGGTGCTTTCTTTATATCCTTAACCATGATTTCAGTTAGGTAGGCAAAGTGATTATTGGTTCTCTGCTTGTATCCTGTCATTTAGATTTTTATCATCAAGAAATAAAGCATAAAGAACTGAAACCATTCAGATGAATACAATTAGCCAGTTCCGAGTGTCCTTCCCCCAAAGCTTCATTTCAGGCCAGACATGTCAGTGCACACCTTTAAACCCAGCACTTGAGGCAAAGGCAGGAGGATCTCTATGAGTTCAAGGTCGGCCTGGTCTACATAAGTTCCAGGCCAGCCATGGATGCATAGTGAGACCCTATCTCTGAGGGGAAAAAAAGCTTCATTTCGGTCTGTGATTTAGTTAGGCTGGTTTTTTGTTTTGTTTCGTGGCCCCATTGTTCACTGCCACACGTTTGGGTTGGTCACCTGGTAGGTGCTTTACTAAGAAAGATTGAGGAAGCAGGTACTGACTCCAGCAGAGGGTAAGAAGAGTCATCCATCAGCTTAGGACACACTTGCTTCACTTCCTTCGCTCAGCTCAGGTACAGGTGACTGTTTATCTCTAGAAAAGCAGAAACCGTCGTTCTGGAATCTGTTGCCAGAACTGTAGTTACCGGAAGGGTCTGGTGACAGTATAAGGACCTGAAAAGCACTGCGGATTCAGTCAGCTGAAGCTGGCTCCGGAGGTGCCACACGAAGCAGCAAGAAGCAGGAGTTTAAGTCCGAGGGGGATCTATGACTTGAGAAGTCAGGAGTCTAACTCAGAAACAGCTTCTGTAGCATGAGGCAAGGAGGCATGTTTGACCACTGAGCTAGGCCAGTTGTCTGTACAGGTGCGCACACACAGTACAAAGCCAATCGCAGATGAATTAAACAGAAAGACAGAACCTGAAAACTTCTGAGAGAAAGCACAGAAGAATTTCTTTAGGGTTTTGGAATGGAAAATGGTTGTTCAGAGTTACTTACAATGGAAAGAAACTGGTAAAGCTATCTACATAGATAATAAGACCAGCGGGGCTAAGGATGTAGCTCAGCTGGCAAAGTGCTTGCCTGGCACACACAAAGCCCTGGGTTCAATCCCAGCACAGCGTAAACCAAGCATGGTGGTGCATGCCTGTAACCCCAGCACTTGGGAGGTGGAGGCAGGAGGAGCGTAAGTTCAGGGTCACCCTCAGCTGCAGAGAGTTTAAGGTCAGCATGAGATGAAGGAGACATGTCTCCAGCAAAACAAGACGGGATTCACCTGTAGGTATTTCGTGCCTTTTTGGTTTTGACCTGTCTATATGAGTTCAGGACCTGCCAGTCACAAGTCTGTTTCCTCCACCTCCCGGGCAGGCAAAGGAAAGATGAGCTGGAGCAGAGGATGTCAGCGCTGCAGGAGAGTAGGCGGGAGCTGATGGTACAGCTGGAGGGCCTGATGAAGCTGCTAAAGGTAAGAACCTGTGTGCTCTCCGCCCACCACATCTCTCACCAAACAACATGGGACCTCAGCTTGACCATGAACAGTTAGTTTTCAGGTAAACTTGCGTAAGTGGAGCCTGATCGGGTATCAGTCATTGATATTAGCATAGAGTCTACAAGATGCATTAGCAGGTAAAGGTGCTTGCTGCCGAGCCTGACCATCTGAGTTCAAACCCCGGGACCCACAGGGTGGAAGGAGAGAACTGACTTCTGCAAAGTGCCCTGACTTCCAAATGCATGCACACACACACAATGAATAAATAAATAAAATAATAGTTTTAGAAAGAGTAATGTTGTTAATTGCTTTGGCTCCGTGATTAAGAGCACTGACTGCTCTTCCAGAAGACTCACATTCTACGCCCAGCACCCACATGCAGCTCACAACTCTTTGAAACTCCAGTTCCAGGGGATCCAACACCCTCTTCTGGCTTCCACGAGCACCAGGCACCCAAGTGGTGCAAATACATAAATGCGAAGAATACACACAGGAATAAAATAATTGCAAATAAGGACGTTTGTCAATCAGATATTAACTATGTATAAATGAAAAATATTTCTTAACTCCTTAGTTTCTTTTATGACAAGTTTTCAGATAGCCTATCTAAATATTTGGCGAACATCAATTGTCCTCTTTTTAATAAGAAGTTCAGCAGCAAACTGTATTAGGATGTTTACAGAGAAGCAGCACCAGGAGGGTAGTTACAGCTATAGAAGGGGATTTATCATGGAAAGTAGCTTGCTCCATCATGGAGGCAGAGGCATCTACTCGGGAGACACAGGAAAAGCAGTGGTGTGATCCAGTGTGTCTGAGACCTGAGGACCTGGGGTACTGACTGTGTCATCCGAATCCAGGAGGTGGATTGTAAGGAATGGGTGGTGGGTCGACCTAAGTCCTGGAGTCTGGGGGGCCAAACCCAGGGGAGCCCCAGTGTGGATCAACAACACCCCTCCCGAAGAGAGAACACACTTGTTTTCTTTGCCTTCTGGTTCCCTCCAGTTCCTCTGTGGTCTGGATGGTGTCTTTCCCTATTGGTGAAAGCAGATCTTCTGTCCTTGGTCTTCTGGTTCCAGAGCCAAGCTCTTTTCAGTACTCCCAGGACAGGCCTGGGAATACTGTAATTTCTGTGCCTAGCCTTTAACCCAGTCAGGTGGTCCTAAAGGTAAACATCACGTAATCCAGCTTACTCATCCAGAGTCTTTACTGTATTGGGGGGGAAAAATCAGAATATCCACTCTAGGTTTAGTGTATGGAAGAAGTGAATAAACCCACATTTTGGCTTTTTCAGTGTTTGCTGGAAAGCACATTACAGCCCCTTACTCTAGATCAGAGAAAGGCGATGGTGTCATTAAATGTCCTCACCTGCACGGTGTGTCAGCGCTGGAGACTCAGTGGATTGTGTGGCAGAGATTTGAGGACGGTTGCCTGTGCTGTTTAAGGTCCTACCCGTCAAGGCTGCGTCCCCACCACATAGTACAGTCCGCCACAGCAGCCACAGCCCGCTGAAGAGAACGGACTGAATCTGTGACAAAGAGGAGTTATTAAAGATTTTAAAAAGCAGGGTTGAGACAGTACTTGGCAGGCTAGAAGAGCAAGACACTACATGATGATAGGAGACTTGTGTGATCACCAGGCCCGAGGTGACAGGGGTCCACCTAAGAGTGGGAACTCAAGAAGGCAGTAGCTGAGACGTCTCCTCAGTGTCTACATTCTAAGCCAGCCCCTTAATAATAATAAAGTGGGTCCTGGCGACTGGCAGAAATGTTCTGTTTGTGTTGGAAACTGATGTTTTACTTCCTCAAGCAATTACTTCTTTCAGTCTGGAGCTGAGGTTTTTGGTGTTTTTTTTTTTTTCCCCTTCCTTGTCCTAGTATTTGGTTTATTTTACATGGACGGACGTGTGTCTGCATAGACCCTGTTACAGATTTCTTCTCAGACATATTTCAATTGTCTAATTTCAAGAGAAACTTGATCGGTCGAGTTCCCTGGAGTCGTCAGGTACTCAGCTCAGTGGCCCCATCCCCAACTCACGACAGCAGCTGTGTACATAAACAGTTGTCTCATGTGATAGCTCTCGCCTTGAGAGGTGTTGAAAGCTCCGCCTTATGGAGTTGGCACACTTGTAGGCCAGGAAATGGTATGAGCATGCCCCTCCCGTTCCTGTGTCAACCTCCAAATGTTAGCCACACATGGATGAGAAAGTGCCCAGCTGTGATTTTTGGTTTGCTTTGCTCCGGTTTTTTGGAGACAGTCTTACTATGTACCTTAACTGGCCTGGAACTCAGAGATCTGCCTGCCTCAGACCTCTCAAGTGCTGGGGTTGTTGTGCACCACTGTGCCCTCTCTGGCCCTCTGAGGGCACCTGTATGCAGATGGTGCACATATAGACAAGCAGGTGCACACACATATACATAAATAAAAAAATAAATCATAGGCCAGGTGGGTGGTACACGCTGTTAATCCCAGGACTTGGGAGGAGGAGGCTGGGAATCTCTAGGAGTTCAAGGCCAACCTGGCCTACATAGTGAGACCCTGTCTCAAAATAGTAGTAATAATTACTATTAATTATTATTATGAGTCTATATGTTTTTCAAGTTTCTAAATGTCACGTTAAGTAATTGATGAATAATGACTAGACCCAGTCCTTGTCATCAGTCGCTGTCAACACCCTTCTCCTTTGTTTTTTTCTTTTAATGATATAATGTCATTGACACTCAGGTACCAACGTTCTATACGTTTTCTTTATATTTTTTCTTGATGCATCAATATGTAACTAACCTCTGTTTCAAACTACTTATTTAATCTGTAAGTATATGTCAACTTTTCTGTTTTTAACTCTTGCTTCCAATGTTTTTACTTCATTTAAATTTTCTAATATTGCGTTTGTGTTGGTTTTTAATACAGACTCCCGCCCAACAGTGGTGGCACACGCCTTTAATCCCAGCGCTCGGGAGGCAGAGGCAGGCGGATCTCTGTGAGGTCGAGGCCAGCCTGGTCAACAGAGCGAGTTCCAAGATAGGCTCCAAAAGCTACACAGAGAAATTCTGTCTGGAAAAACTGAAAACAAACCAACAAACAAACAAACAAAAAAGACAGACTGCCGTAGAACTTACTTGTAGCTCTAGGCTGGCCTTGAACTCATGATCCTTCTGCCTCAGCATCTTAGAGTTCTGGGATTATAGGCATCAACCACTATGCTTGGGTTTGACGGTCAGTGTCTTTGGAGACGATTGCAATAACTATGTTATTACTCTTCCACCACATAGAAGAGATAGATTCACGTATTTTTAGGGAACATAAACTCTTCTAGATTTGTGCCTCATCATTAAGATATCATGACACCCTTTAAATCAGGTTAGTTCTGTCTCTTGTCATCAGTCCATGCTGACTGATTCTAGTGGACTGATACAGAATGCTCTCAGACCTTATAGCTGACCCTTTTACTGTGCTGACAGAGCCCTAAAGGCTTTATGTGACTAACTCTTGTGAGTTTGTGTAACACCAGCCTAGGGAACACTTTGCCAGAATCTACCCTCTTTCAACTAGGAGACCTCCTCAGTCCTGAGAACACTGCCCTGTCCATCAGCCCATCCCAGCCTGGCCCATGTTTCCCGGATAAGTCTTAATAATAATAATAATGTCCTGGGGCAACCTACACAGCAGAGTGAGCATGGTGTGGTTTTAAAACATTATTTCTGAAATTTCCATACTTTGTGTCAAGACTGATCTTGAGACAGTCCTCCTGCCTAAGCCTCCCACGAGCTGGGAACCCAGGCATGAGCCAGCACAGCAGCTTCCCTGTTGTGTTAAACCGAAGCCGTGGTATCTTTGTTACCAAACCTGAGGCGCATGGTAATACTTAGCAGTATTCTTAGTATAGCCAGGATTTCGGCCTGTGAAGATTGCCCCACCCTCCTGACCACTCTCACTGTATAAACATGACTGGCGTTGAACTCACAGAGATCCTTCTGCCTCTGTCTCCTCGGTGCTGGGATTAAAGTTGTGCGCCACCATGCCCAGCCCATCTCAGTTTCTGTTTCAGCACGTAGTGCCAGCAGTTTTTCAATTGCTTAATACCTCTCCTATGGCTTCTTCTTTGCCCATTGAGAGCTGGAGATGCACTTGTCTCAGACAAGCATCCTTCCAAGCCGCAGCTTAGCCCCTCCATGCTGCAGATGTGATGGGAAGCCTCTGACTTCGCAGGTGACCCAGGCAGGCAGTGCTCAGGGTCCCCGGTCTGCCTACTGGGGTAAGTCCCAATGCAGGCAGCTGGCTTTCAGCATAAAAATCTCCTTCCCCAGCTGAACTGGGCCTCCAGGGATTTCTTGGTGCTCATTGAGTTTCGAGTCCATATCTGTCTCTCCCTTGCAAGAGTAAAAAATATTCTCCATGTTTCCCCCTGTCCTTTGTGTAGTTCCTTTGCAGTACCAAATCACTTTGCCCTCACGTCCAGACCTGCAGACCCTTCAAGAGCAGGAGCATATCCATGCCTGTGTCCCTCCACCCATGTATGGTGGGGACCACTGCACCCATGGACCCAGCACGGGGGGTGGAGCCATCACAGCCACACATTGATTCATATACTGGGGCGCCATGGAGGCTCCCTGACCACAGTTACCCATGATGTAAAAAAAGGGTACAGAAAGAAAAGGCAAAGAGACCAGACAGACAGTGACTGAGGAGCTCAGGACCAAGGCAAGAGAAACTCTAAAGGTTTATCTTTACTTCCTTCAGCTTTTTTACAGTTCTTGGTACTGCGTTCATCTGTCGACCATAGTTAGCATCTGCTCCTCTACCTGCCCTTACTGTAAGGTTATAAAAGAGAAGTTAATAAAGAACTGAGATTGAGAATCCCATTCCTCTCTCCCTCCCTCAGACAAGCCCTTGTCATGTAGCCCAGGCTGTCCTAGAATGCGGCTTCCTCTTCCCTCTGCCTTCCCAGTGCTAGGTTTACAAGCATGTAATACAATGCCTAGCTCTAAAATTCCTTTTTACCTTCCCCTGGGGCGGGGGGGGGGGGGGGGGGGGGGGGGGGGGGGGCTATGTTTTATTTTATTTGTTTTATTGTGACATAGTCTCATGTATCCCAGTCTGGCCTTTAACTTACTATGTGGTCAAAGATGGCCTTGAACTCCTGATCCTTCTGTCTCCATCTCCCTAGTGCCAGAATTACAGTCATGAGCTTCCATACCTGGTTTATGTAGTGCACAGATCAAACCAAGAGCTTCATGCATGCTAGGCAGGTACTCTACCAACCAGGCTACACCCCAGTCCTTAGAATCCTTTTTCTGAAAGGCCTTCCAGGGTCTTGAAGCCGTTTCCTGTTCAGTGGGGGACATGGGCATGTATGTGCATCCCCGAAGGAAGCAAAGCAGCTCGAAAGCGAGCCGACTGGTGCAGCTTCAGCGAAACTGGAAAAGAGGACAAGCACGTGTGATCAGGAGGAACTGTTAGACGGGTCGCTAAAACAGTGGTTCTCAAATCGAACCCAAGACTCTTGGGACACATTTTGAGTGTCCCCACCCCCATCAGAGCTTTGGCTTAATGAATCTCAGGTGTGGCCTAAAATATTCCCCTCTGAGATGACCCCAGGTAATCCTGATGTTGGTGGTCCTCGTTCCACACCAAGTACAGCTGCCCTAGAACTATGGACCTAAACATATACGAGCATTGTAAATGGTGAACTACAGTGATAATTGGGATTTGAAGTTGAAATTAAACTTCCTCTTCAGTTTCCCTTAAGTAGTTGAGGCTCTAGGCTGGCCAGGCCCTCCAGGAGGGTTGAAGTCGATGGTTCCTAAGACTCTTTGGAAGTCATGATTGCACTCATTAACTGGTTGGGACCGAGTACCGTCATCTACCGTATCCTACCGGCCTTCTGATGAATCCGGCCATTGCTCTCCAGACCTGTGCGTGGCCACAGTTTGCCCAGTTTCTCCTGTCATTTCTCCCCAGTGTCTGTGGTGATGGGCATTAATTTCTTTCTTTTTCTCCTCTGCCTCTTTCCATCGTCAACACCTCTAGGAGGAAGAGCAAAAGCAGGCAGTAAGTGGACTTCAGAATTCTCCTCTGGCCTCTCCTCCCTTTGCATGTTCCTCCGTTCCTTGTGTCCATGTCTCATACCTTCCCCTTCGAGCCTTGCATCACTGATCTCTGAGGAGCTGGTTATGTGTGAAGCCCTCAGAAGTTTCCCGCTATGGTGGTGTGCCATGGCCTACGCCTGGGCTGTGCTTACCTAAGGGAGCATGTTCTTACTTTTTGAATTTGTGCTCGTTTAAATGTGCATGCTCAGCCAGGCTACCACTGCGTTTTCATGTTCTTTTATTTTCTGCTGGTTTTATGTCCCGAGTGACCTTCAGTGCTTGAAACAGCTTTCCAGGTGGTGGAAGTGACCTCAGGTCCAAATGATGTGTTCTAAATGAATATGCATGAAAGGAAGTGTTCCTTGGATGGTTGTGGATATCCTATGGTTGCAAATAGGCCCTGGCTCCAGCCGGCCTTCCTGACCAAAGTAGTGATATTTCCTGCTCTGAGCCTTTGAGGGCTGGGAAGTCAAGTGACTCGGGGTGTTCTGAGTTATTGGCATGGTTGTTAATTAATTAATGATGTTTGGGACAGTTAATATTTGATTTTGTTTTTCTTGATAACTGTTATCCTACACACAAAAAAAAATTGAGGGCCTGTCCATTATAATAACCTGGGATAAACTAAATTCAAGAGAGAAATATGAAATACTAATTCTAAAAAGGACTATAAAACATTTGATTTAAAAATGACCCATCTTTTGAGGCTGGAGAGATGGCTCAGTAGTTAGGAGCCCTGGCTGCTCTTCCAGAGGACTCAGGTTTGGTTCCTGTCTCTCACATAGTGACTCACAACTGTCTGTCACTCCAGTCCCAGGGAATCTGACGCCCTCTGCTGGCTGCCAAGGTCACTGCCTGAACATGGTTCGCATACATGCGGGCAAAATACCTATACACATAAAATAAAATGAGTAACAATTCTCCATCTTTTTCAGAAATATGGATTTATTAATGTGTTAGATTTATATATGAGTATTTCCGGCTAGGAGAACGTTGGTGGTGAGTGGCAGAAACAAGGGAAGAAAGCATTGGGCCCAGCTAAGCACCCAGAAATCCCATGGACTTGAATGTCCTAAGTTTGCCTGGTGTGGTTCTTGCCTGGTTTGGTTCCCGTTTCCTGAGTCACACAAAGTTTTTTTGCACTTGTCCCTCGATAGGTACATTCACCTGAGCAAAACAGGAAGATGAAAAGTCAAACCCAGTTTTAAACATTGTTGCTAGAAGGTGACAATGTAATCACTTCCATCCTCCTTCATTGATGAAAGCAAATCCCACGGCCACATTTGACCAGAAGAGAGTCAGGAAGTGTGTTTCCAGCTTGTTTAGAAGTCAGAGAGATGGGCAGTGGTGGCGCACGCCTTTAATCCCAGCACTCGGGAGGCAGAGCCAGGCAGATTTCTGTGAGTTCGAGGCCAGCCTGGTCTACAGAGTGAGATCCAGGACAGGCACCAAAACTACACAGAGAAACCCTGTCAAAAAAACAAAACAAAACAAAACAAAAAACCAAATATACAAATGAACAGATAGATAAAGAGATACATACAGCAAGGTCCGGGAGGTCCCTAGTGCCAGAGTTCTTTCTATGCGCCGAGGACGCTGTCCCCTGGCATGTGGATGTGTTCACTAACCCCTTTGTCCTGGGTGATGAGGTTCTGTTTCATAGGCATGATTGATTCAGTTACTGGCCACTGGTAATTAGCTTCGTCTGGATTCCCCTTCCTCAGAGGTCTGGAGAGGGCGACAAGTTCTAACACTGAATCATGCTGTGGGCTTCCTAGCAGCCAGCTCCTATCCTGAAAGCTGCTTTAGCATATAGACACTCTTATCATTCCGGTGATCCGAAAGACTTTTAGAAGCTCTTGTGGCTGAACCTAGGGCAGAAGACCAAATACATACTTGTTAGATCACAGTATGATAAAGTCGATTTGACTTTACAAGGACTTGAGAGTGGTGGATAGAACTGCTACTTTATAAACTCCGACGCTACCCCCTCCGCTTGCCCCTTGACACCTGCAGCAGGTCGGGGACCTGACACCAGCTGCAGCACTCGGGAGAACGGGCCCTGCACCTTGCCTGGGCAGCACAGTAGAGTTGACCCTGTAGACAGGCACGGGTGAGCCAGCCCTGAGGGCGTGAGATTGGCATAGCTGGTACCACCTCCTTCATCCGTGGTGTGGCGGTAGGAGTGAGGGAAAGATGGCCTCCCCTGCAATGCCTGAGGCAGGTGGGAGAGCTGGCCCTGAGGTAAGAGCAGGGAAGTTGTTCTTGCTCCCCACCAGGGACAGCAGCACTCAGGACAACAGGTCCTGCATCTTGCCTGGGCAGCACCGTAGAGCCAAACCTGTTGGCGGAGGTGTGGGTGAGCCAGCCCCAGAGCTATGAGCATGGGAGAGCTGTTGTCACTACTTGTCTGTCATGCGTTGGTGTGGGCAGGGGAGAGATACTCTCTCCCACACACACACACATGTAGCAGGTGGGAGAGCTGGCCTTGACGTCATAAGAGCAAGAGCGCTGTCTCTGCCCCTCACCAACTACAGCACTTGGGAAGAGTGGCCCCTTCGCGTTACCTGGGCAACACAGTGGAGCTGGCCCTGAAGGTGTAGGTGTGGGAGAGCCAACCCTGAGGGTGTGAAAACAGGAGAACTGGCCCCGCCCCTTGCTGATCTCTGCAAGGGGTGAGCCAGCCAGGGCAGTGCTGGAGAGCCCCCCCCCCCCGGTGGTGAGGGCAGGGAAGAGCTGGTGGGCTGACCAACCCTGCAACTACCCAGGCCCAGAACCAGGGTTATGAGGTGGCCCACCCCAACATCCACCTCACGTGTGATCTGCTGGAGCATGCGAAGGGACCGGTCCTGCAGACCCAAAGCTGCAGGATCTCCACGACACAGGGCAACCACAGGATATCCAGGAAGAGTCCCAGTGAGGGCTCAGCATCGATAGTGTAGCAGAAACCAGAGGCCTCAAGCCAGACCAATGACTCTTTGCGATGAACACTTGCACATAAAGATATATGGGTGAAAGGACTGCGTGACTCACTATACCACATTACAGCTTCCATGATGAGATCCCCCCTCTATCTCTCTATCTCTATCTCTATCTCTCTATCTCTCTCTCATCTCTATCTCTCTTAAATTTTATTTTATTTAGGTAGGGGAGGTTACAAGGCCAGAGGGTGGATACAAAGGAAATGAAGGGGATCAAAGTGCATGATGTGAAAGACACAAAGAATAAATAAAAAGAAAGTTAAAAAGAAGCTTTGATGCTAGGGGTCAGAGGTGTAGCCCAGTGGATAGAGCCATCCTTAACATAGATGGGGCCTTGGGTTCCATCCCAAGCACTGGAAATAAAAGAATAAATAAATAAGCACAGTTATCGAGGCTAGGACTCTGTCTTCAAGTCTCGCCCACTTTTTCTGTGCCGTGAGTAACCTTCCCTAGCAATCCTTCTGTCTTCCACTTCCTCCCCTTCTCTTTCCCCAGATACAAAGATTAGAATTAAGGGCAGAACTGCCTGGCTGCCTCGGGTCACACTGCTCAGCTGACGGTTGACTCGGTAGTTTAAGAAGTTCTTTAGGGGCTGGAGAGATGGCTCAGAGTTGTTAAGAGCACTGGCTGTTCTTCCAGAGGTCCTGAGTTCAATTCCCAGCACCCACATGGTGGCTCACAACCATGTATAATTTGATCTGGTGCCCTCTGCATACATAATAAATAAATTGAGAAAAAAAAAAGTTCTTTAGACTGGGCCAGGCGACTCAGGGTTAGTCATGTCCAGACACGTCATGAGACTGTAATTAAAGGACCTCGGCAGCTCCCTTCACTGTTCTTTCTCCAGGTCTCTAAGCCAGCCTGCTGCATAGCAGACAATAAATCTTTGCTAAGGGAAAGCCACTGTGAACCAGAAGACGGCGGCATGAGTTTATCGGTGTGTTAATTGTGAGGGGCAGACCCAGTTCCAATGCCGGTAGCGGTGATTCCCCTCCAACCGCTCTCGAGTAATAGGCAGATCCACTCAGGAGACGAAGGTCTGACTCAGAAATCCTCCTGACAGTAAGGAATCAGCCCTGTGTGGTGGTGCACGCCTTTAACCCCAGCACTCAGGAGGCAGAAGCAGACGGATCTCTGTGAGTTGGAGGCCAGCTGGGTCTACAGAGTGAGTTCCAGGACAGCATAGAGAGACTTTCTCAAAATGAATTAATTAAAATGAAAAAGACAGAAAGACAAATTTCAGTGCTTCTAAAATTATAGGAGTGCCAAGTTCATATATGGATAGGATATACTTGTATTAGTTCTGTCTAGAGAGCAGATTATATGAAATAAAATCGCCATTTGACACTGATAGCGTATAACATGCCGTAGGTCAGTTAGATCATTTGAAAATAATTTAATCATGGCTGAGTGGAAAATGCCAGTGCCGACAATCAGGGGGTGGTTGTAGGATTTGTTTGTGTGTTACAAGGCAAAGAGAGCCGCAGACTGACGACCAGACGGCCCCAGTGAATATGATCCCCAGCACACTTGACCCCGGAGCTGCTACTCTAGATCACGCTGGAAGGACTTGAGATGTGCAGTTCCCTTTGGAGACACCTCAGATCTGCATTTCCCTCAGTGACTCAGTATGCCACATAGTTTCAGTTCTAGATCCCCAAGGCTCAATGAAATAAGCTGCCTGTGGCCAGCGGTCCAGCTCTCCATGAAGAATGTGTTTCCTTGGGCATTTCTAGTCTCCTCTCATACAGCTCCTCCTCTGTTTCTCACAGTGTAACAGAAGCCCGAATCTACTTCCAACACAGCAAGGAGTTGCCGTCTAGTCCCCGACTCAGAAGTGCTTTACCACATCTATTACAGGCCGTGGACTTAGTCTGTTAGAGGATAAAAAAGGAAACCCGGCTGGGCGGTGGTGGCGCACACCTTTAATCCCAGCACTCGGGAGGCAGAGCCAGGCGGATCTCTGTGAGTTCGAGGCCAG